TATTTTGTGGAAGTTTTTATCTTCAAGTTCCCATCTGATTGTAAAACTCGATTGAAATCGAATTCCACCATGAAAGTCAGAGGATTTTTTATGGGTCACTGATCCGACCTGTTCCGACATGTTGAGCAGATGTTATAAAGCATTTTACGTTTTATTAATATTATATAGCACGGTCAATCTTCCTGGAGTGATTTTGTTGTTCAAGATAAGAGATGCTAGTGGAGAGATAAAATACTTAATTACAGCCAGTAATTTAATGGAGCTTCCGTTAACCGTAAATAAAAGTAGTAACAACGTGTTTGAAATGTTCTTTTATTCGTTTTATATGGTATTATAGCATTGTTTGTTTAGATTTTTTCTCCTGGGGTGGGGGCTAGTTGACACATTTGATTGACCTTTCGTTTCCCACCCTGGGGAATTTGATCGAAAAATTTTAAAATTTGTCAAATCCCCACCCCTTGCCCGCACTCCCCCCCTCCCCCCCCCCCCACGGGGTTTACATTGATAGGTGCATAACAAGGTCTTAAATTTCCGAAAAATTTCGCTTCACGTCCAAAGTTAAGGCAGTCGCTGAAAAGTTAAGCTTTGTCGATCAATGTGTGTTTCTCGGAAATTGCCGCCTGCCCCTCCCCAAACCTAACATTAACACTTGCTTCTCGCTTTGGGCAAAATGTTAGGTTTGGGGTGGGGTAGGTGGGCAGTTTCTCAGAATCATACATTGATCCGAATTTACTAATGTTCATCCTCATAGACTCCAAGTTTGTAATTTTCTCTCCCAGCACTACATGTATCTTTATAACATTTTCATACAAAAGAAAGTCTTGCAGGTTTTCTTTTCAAACTCTTGCAAAGTTCGAGCCGGCAAAAACCGGAAGTGGCGTTGAATGTTTGCGTTTGACCGCTGTGAGGGAAAGATCTGATTTGAAGTCCAAAAATATCGGACTTCCTGTTGAATTACGCATGCCTTGCATTCAAATGAATGACCAAAGACAAGCGACCCTAGACCGTCTGAGAATCAGGCTAAGGCCAGCGAGCGATCAAATATGTGCGGATTCGACAAGGAAAAAATATATTTTTTAATTTTGTATATGTGTGTCCTTTACCATGATCGAGACGTATGATGCGCCTATGACGAAAAGATACGTCTGGCGTGTCATGTACTACATGTACTGTATATGTCCATACGCATAAAAACTTGTCGTAGTATCTGGGGGAACAACTACGAGATTATTTAATTACGGTAGATGGGACAAACTGTTAGGAAACATGGCGGGATAGAACAGGCAGATTTCGAACTGGTCTTTTATCTTCTCACGACTAATTCAGAAATCACCAAGCAGTATTCAGAATTTCTCAAAAGGTTAAAAATTATCGTGCAAACTCGGCTCAGGACATAACTTCTTAAAAATTGACAGCTGTACACATACAATACAGCCAAATAATGCACAAGCGTGTCGTGAACCAGACGGGCGTGATTGTGGTAGAAGGGAGGGTAGTGGGGGGAAGGAGTAGGGATGGCTGGTCAGTTGGTGGTGTGGAGCCCTCGACTGTAACACCGTTGAAGCCC